TTCGTCCAATTCCAGTCGCTCACCTGTTTGACCAACCCGGCTCAAGTGGTTCCTTTTTCAAGAACACACATGATTATCATGATTAAAAAGCGATCCGCATCAGATCAATAGCACACTGGATGCTGGACGAGGTGCCCTATAGGCTGTATCAACCGGCATCGGTCCCGCGTTAGTGTGACTTGCGAAGCCGCACCTTCGCGTGCGACGTGCCTTAAAACGTAGCAGAGTTCGCACGCGTCACACCGCACCGACGCAAGTTGCCGCAGATGCGAAGTCGCATGACCGATGCTGGTTGGTACAGCCTATACGTTCAACGTAGGCCCGCCCCAGTAAACCCCCATTAGTTGCACTGATGGGGGTTCACTACGGACCCATGTTAGTGCGTGTGTAATCGCAGAAACATCTTGTTCAATCCTGCAGAAAACTGAAGGAGTATGATCAATGAATAAGGAGCAGAAACTTTGGTTGACTTTGGTGACTAGTGATTTTGGTTTCCTCGATTTCAACTAAACTTGCGACTTACCCTGCGCTGCTATCTGCCCCATTCTAACTGCACAATTCCTCAAACTGCTCTAGCACAGTGGCTCTCTTTTGTCGCTTCAGTAGTTGTCGAGATACTAAGCCCATTAGTTGGGTTTTCTAGTCGGATAAGAGAAGATTTTTGATTGTCTCTCCAAAGATTTTTGCTACGTTAGTCTCAACCCAAGCTCAAATTGTATGTGCTGGAAATCACGTTGCGAGTAAGTGCGTATGACTCATTCAAAATTCCGATAGTGCGCGATGTCTTGAGATGTCGACAAAGCGGTTGCTTACTAACGAATGGTCAGGAATCAAAGTGGCCAATCCAGACAAGCTGTATGCCATTAGATGTAGCATAAAACGCCGACTTCGAATCTGTATTTATTTACAAAGCAATATTTGCTAAGCACTATGTGGGCGAAGTTATGAGCCGTTGAAGGCCGTTATTTTGTTCGGAAATAATGCATGCATAGCGTAACGGCAGAACCATGTTCGGTTTAATCCAAACCATGCAGGCAGGTTACTTTATATTTTTGAAACCCAAACATGAGGTGAGAGTGCAACAATGGGCTCAATTTCGTGATTTTTACGTACGATTTTTTCGCGACAAAACTGCTCATAACTTCGTCCACAAAGGCGCTAAGCAAATGTGGAATACAGTTTCGAAATAAGCGTTGAATGCTGCATCAAATGATATTGGCCACTTCAACTTCTGACATTTCCTTGTTAGCTGTGACCAGCGAGCGATACGACTATGGTATAGATGGATGGGTTTAGGCTTGAGTTCACTGCGCAGAAATAATGTCTTGCCTTGGTAAGATTTCTTGTCGTTTGATGCGATATGTATATGATGATGACTTTGATCCGCAAAGGAAACAGGAGAAAATGTAGCCAGTCAAACTTGAGTTCCTTTACTCTGCGGCGTGAACGAACACAACGACACAAATGAAAACTTACCCATTTTCAAAAAACAAATCAAAGACAGGAAACCATGGAAAACCTGGTTCGTTCTACGGCTTTTTTCTTGGCCGCTTCCGGTAAGTGGCGTCACCTGCTGGCCATTCGGCTAATTTCTGGGGTCCCGCATTCATACTTACGGGGATAATACTTCAAGAAGGAATTTAGACCGCCAACAAAGTGTGGCGAACATTTTGCAAAAAATTGGACTTCCGCCTGCGATTTGGAACTTTCCATTCCTACGATGCACTATATGGAAAACTCAACACTATGAATCTTCATCAATCATGCATTTATTGCAGCTAAAGAAATCGTGTTTGATGAAGAATCGATCACCCTATAGTGAATGTTTATTTTACGATTGAGTTTGCGTTGGCTGCGCTGTGATCACTCTTCTCCCAAGAAGCGTTTGCGGCAATTTACCCAAGAAAACGAACGCAGAGGAAATTACTTTTGCTATTTCGGATACTGCTTTGTTTGAAGCCACAAATTTCTTCAGTGCGTTACTGAACTGGGGAAGATACAAAAATTTTTCGCTTTTTCCAAACTGTCGAACACATATATTATGTAGGTCGTTTTGAAGAAGATGTCCAGGTAAAGCTTGGATGAAGCAAGTCCCAAAGAATACAAAATAATTTATTCCCTTCTATAGCTTGATTTTCCAAATTTCAAAAATTGTTTTTTAATGCTATCAAACTTCATATTTGGTCAACTAGAACTTCATAGAACATCGGCGAGCAACACAAATGTGATTCGGTGTAAGTCCTCTTTTTTCTTTTTTATAGCGGTTCTTATTCCCGATTGTAGAGTATTCGGGCTAAATTAATCCATGTTTTTGAACGTGTCCCAGGCTGTGGTTGGAAAGTTCGAGATTCGATTTTTCAAGTCCGTAAACATTAGGGCCTATAGTAAAAGCCCCTCGAGTCGTGACGACTCGGAGCGCGGCAAATGCCCGGCAAATGCCTTTTGCTGCCGCCCCATGATAAGGGATAGGCGACATGATGAGGCGTATGCCCGGCGTAACGCCGAGGCAACGCCGCCGGCAGACAAGGCAGCACCAGCGTGCCCGTCATGCAGACAGTTGGGAAATAGTGGGTCTCGATTGGAGACGCAAAGAGGTCATGGTGCCAACGAATGACTAGCGGTCGAGTACGTTCGGGGTGGTAATGCCGCCCGCTGTCCATAGATGCACGCAAAGAATAAAATGCGCGTCAAATACAATCAATATGAACAGCTGATAGCGCAATCGCGAGGCGCACAACTAATCTTATTCCATTTCTTGCTATTATTTCTTCTGTTTTTTGCTTTGGGACCTAGACAAGGTAAGTCAGTTATGAATAGCTTATCTTCAGGTCCTCTTCAGCAAAATTTGCTGCTCTTAAGCGTTTTTAGCTTCGATAGCCGTTTTGCAGCCAGTTTGGTCTAGTTGTTTTTCTTCATGCCTTAATTTTACAATTTCTTGCAATTTATACAGTTTTCACCAAAACTTTCATCTGCTTTTGTTAGAAAACGATTTGTTACCACGGCTAATGAAGTAGCATAAACTAGTACAGGTCGAATTAGTAAAAATCTCATAAGTTTGTATATTTTTCAATGTGTCTCAAATACTTTGTTTGCACGCTAATTTATGTCCAAAACTAAGTTTTTATAAACATTACAAAAATTTTGGCATGTATGTGTTTTTACAAACCGCTTTGCAAAAGATTTGACGTACTCGACGTGTGCACCAAACTTCCAGCTCAGCGGCGCAGAACTGGAGATACCACTGCGCTATCCGCAGTGGTATCTCCAGTTCCAAATATTCCAGTGTTTACAATCACAAAGTGATAGCTGTACTTATACTCACAGGCGAGAATCGGTTTCAATGGAACTGCTTACTAATTTCAACATATTAGCTTGAAAGCCTATATATCTACCGTATACACCTTTATGCTCAGACTTATTCCAGAAACATTGTGTATAGCGCAGTGGCTGCGCGCGCCGCTCACTGCGGTTACTGCGAGTTCGGCGACGCGGAGTTTTTTGCGGCGGGCGGCCAACGCCCATCGTGCCCGAATGTAACTCATTTTGGGCGGTCATGACCGCATCTTCTTTAAGTTGTGATGACTTTGTGGTGATTACTACTGGCCTAGCTGTCCCATTTTGTTTAATCAGTGTACATAATCCACTTCTTGGAGTTTTGAATTTAGATGATTTACTGGTGTCTCACATTTTTGTGTCCGAGATGGACTTGCTGAAATTCGGTGGTTTTTTGAATGTTTGTCAAAAATTATAGTAAGTTATGGGAAGGAAAAATTGTATTCTAACCTATCTATAAGCTATTTGAAATTCGGGAATTCGACATGAAAAATTACAAGTATAACCAAACTTGACCATCTCAAAAAGCATGCGTCGCAGATGATAATTTTCCGCATGATCATTGAAAAAGGATAAAATGCTGCATCGCCGCTATCAAGATCTCTTATTGTTAGAAATCTTGTTCCACGAAATATGGTTCATTTGAAAAAAGCTACATTAATTTCGGAACGAGTTAATGTACATTTGCTAAATGCTTTACGAAGTGCTGTGAAAATACTAACATAAAAACGAAACATGATACATAGAAAAGATTTCTTTCCGTTCAGATTTTCCCAAAGTTTTGATGCAGACTTCACCTAGAGGCAGAAAAAAATCGGAAATGCCTGGGTTATTGGCACCCATCAGCGATCGCTGATCCTGCTCGTTACCCGTAAGATTTTGTACATGTAAAGCAATAGCGGAAATTGTCTAGGAAATTTGAAGCTGCCGAACTTGAATGAGGCTTTAGTGCTCTGTAAATCCAACCCAAACTGACTTCATAGCGCGTCAACAGACGCAGCAAGAAAGGGATAGATTCGAGACGAATTTTGTTAGGATGTGAGCGGGATAGATAGGCTAGTTAATCTTCTCAATACCTGCCAACTCCCCATTAGAAACCAAATCGATAGAATGCCTAGTTTTCGTTGAAGGTTCAGATTTTCGCAAATCTGAATCTTCAACAATATTGAAAAAATAAGTTGTTGATGATTTTGTTGAAATTTGTGCAGAAAAGGCTGATGAGCTTTTCCAAATAAGGAATGGGCCCAGTTCTTCGCTAGAAAAAATTTAATTTTGAGCAGTGTCAGCCAGAGGTAGGTGCATAATGCTGCATCTGCTTTCTAGAGTGACTTTTTGCTATCTGAGTCGATTTTTCGCAGCAGGAGCTGAGCAATTTGAAGCACATTGTTTTTCTTCGCTTTGTCAAAATTATAATTAATACAAAAGAAAATTCATATTTTTACAGCTCAGCCGATTATTCTGCAACATGTATTATACAAACAATTTTCTCCTGGTAGTTTTACCCCATTGTTCTTCTGGTTTTCAGAACATTGGTAAACTCTGCATGGCAACCGAAAGTTTGTAAAGGAATCTCTCTTCTAGAAATAAGCTTTGTGTGAGCTTTTGACTAGGTTCCATGGAAATTTGTTATTGTGTGATCACATCACTGTATTTGAAACATCATAAACATCTTGAAAACTTCATTGAAAGTAGCAATTCAGCAACGAATACAATATAAGAAAATTTACTCGTATTGCTACACATCCAATATGACCGCAGCAATTTCACTCTCAATTTCACAGTGATTATGCCCACGAATTATGCGGAAGAAACCTGGAATTACTCGCTTTTTTGCTAACACAGTCTTTGAAACACCTTTTCCTCAACACTCACCTTTTTCTCCCCACACATCATTCCAAGAATTAGCCACTAACCAGTACGGTACTTTTTCTTTTTCATCTGTTCCCCACCCAATAATTTTAACAACGTGTTCGCCGACTTCCATACCAGTCTTGTGCTGGAAAGAATGGCTTTTTCCTTCATAGCTCAATTTAAATCGCTACGCTTTGTAAACTGATAAATCACCTCATAAACTCCTTTATCGTACTCCCACAAATCCATGTATACAATGAAGACTGCTGCAACAGGCCCATTTGTCATTATCTCTCTTCTAATCTCCGTCTCATTGTTCGGAAGGTAATAGACTGATTTTCCTAGAAAAAAGTGAGCTGTGAGCAGACGCAAGTTTTCCTCCTTGCAAATGTTTAATGCACTCTTAAGAAATTATTTCAAGTTTCTGAAAATACGTATATTTTTCCTGTGAAAGATTTGAGTTATAGGAAATAAAAGTACACTGACCATGGATTTTGTCTGCCTCATAAGTAACATTGTACCCAATTTGGCACTTTCTTCGGCATCTCGGAGTAGGATACGTTTCTTGCGGACATTCTCCATAATAGGGCTTACCCCGTAAATAACCGCAAGGATGATATGAGTACGGTTTGCAGACATTCTCAATGTTTCGTATCATCTCTAGATTGATAAGAACAGGCTTGAATTACCTTTTCTCTGTAATGCTCTCCACTGCAAACGCCGGATTCTACTGCATATTCGAATGCTGCAGCTGGATAACCTCCTTCGCAACTGTACAAATATTAATTTGAAGACAGTAAAATTTCGAATGACCTACGGACCCGGAGCAATAATCCTTTTGACAGCATGCAAGTATATCTGTGTCAGAGATGTGCTTCTTAAGCAATTAATGGCAATTTGGCAATATATTCTGGAGTCAGGTGAATCATCTACCTTTATCCTGCCCTTCGATTGTATGCAAGCTCGATCTCCAATTACGCCGGCTGATACCATTGCCCATGCAGATACTAGAAAGCAAGCAATATTTTTCAGTGCTTAAGCTCAAAGGAAACCAACAAAAGAAGGTTGTGTATAGTATATCTTTTGGTTGAGAAGATGTGAACCATCGAGAAATTTTCCGAAAAATTTCCGCGAACTTTTTGAACAGATGGATCACAGGGGCGAGGAAGGGGTAAGACCTTCTCGGTCGCAAATGTCAAAAAAAGTTTATGCATATATCGCATCGTGAGTGATTTGTTCTCATCTGTAAAAATTGGATTGACTTGTAGATTTTGCAAAACTAGCTAGAAAAAAGATTTTCGCGGAAGTTACAAGATCTGTCCAGACGCGCAAATCTCGGAATGTTTTCTGACTCTCCTAATCCGAAAGAAATCACTGCTTGTGGCACTGCTGCTAACATGCATGCTTTCAATGAGATGTTTTTACTTCTCATTAGAGAAGGATGCCAACTTGAGGCAAATTGAAAAGAGATGTGTTTTTCTAGACGCGTCTTTGGACATTGGTTTCAAATTGGCCTTACTTCTTTGCGGAACAGTTCTACGAAAGAAGTTATAAGGATTTGAATGTCCAAATTTTCGACTTTAAGTGACATAAAACTGGAGAAAAGCTGTTCAAAAACAACTGAAAGTGGACAATCGATTTTGTGTAAAGTTTGTTGAGTACAAGAAAGGTACCCAGCCAGTGGTAATTCGCGTAGGTGTTATACGGTCTTCGTCAATTTCAGGCCACTTAGGCTTGGCAATTTTGGACATTCAAACGCTCATATCTTCTTTCCCCAAAAAAAGGAAAGCAGATTTGTAATCAGCGATTGAGGGCGCGTTCAGTGGTACACATCTTTTTTTCGATTTGCGAGATCAATTTGATATCTTCTTATGTCAGGAATTATCGTTGTAAATGTAGCAACAATCTTCACAATCAGAAATTTCTAGGGAGCAATAAATATATTCAAAATTATTCTAGGAACATCTAAAATTTCCTGGCTAGAAGACCTTGGAATTTGTTCTTATTTCCGTTTTGGCTTGATTGGATAGTTTGTCAGGTAAAGCACCTGTTTCCACAAATTGTTTCTGCAAGTGAAGGTTTTGTCGAGAATTTAGCAGTAAGTTGTCGGTTGCTGCGTGCTTTAAGCCGGCTCATTTACAAAAGGTTTACATTTACATATTTATGTTCCTTTGTAAGCAATGAATACTAGAACGATCAGCCACGTTTACATATACTGATGGAAGTTCAGAATTTTCTGAAAATTACATTTTGATGAGCACTTCGTGCACAATTCCCCAACAAATACTACACATGCTTCCAGAAATAATGATATTGATTGAAGACTTATGGGCTTACAAGAGGAAAAACTCCACACTTGCTTGTTATCTTTTAAGCCATGGAATCACATACAGATATATGATAACGGAAGCGTACATAGAAACTAGAAAAAAGTTGTAGTTGATATGAGCAGTGCTAATTAAAAATGGTTCTCCTCTAAATAGCAAGAAAAGACAGAAAGCGGGCATCACTTAAAAAAAACTCAGTTATTCAAGAATAGGTTATATGTTAGCTTACCACAGTTAGACTGATCACGAATATATCCAATTGAGGGACATTCAGGCCATTTTTCTCTCGCGTCAAAACTAAAAAGTGGAGCAGTTGATTTTACACTCGTACAAGAATCCACAAACACACTTTTCGGGAAGGGTATCATGGAAGTTCTCGACTTTTCTTACGGGAAACCCGTTTGTTTGTCCAAAGCTATGAAGATATTTTCGGTCCATCACACGTGCTCTCAGAAAGGCTTCTGCAGCTGCACTGTCGATCTAGGATCAGATATCGCTGGTTACTAGGTACCAATATCGACCGTGTAAGATGAAGATGCCAACAGTTTACCTTTCTTTCGGAGTTTTCGTCTGTACGTAGATTTTCATCTGTAAATTTTTTTTATCAACAATTTTTTCCAAGAATCTGCATCTTTTGCCAAACTTACCACTGTGTGATGACCCAGCTGAAATCACTACTGCGACTAATAAACAGAGAGGAAGCATCTATAAAATCGAGGCTCAAAGTATGAATCACAACCCGTATCGCTGGAATTATCAGTCGGCCAAAAAATGATAAATCTTCTAAGGTTTTAATACATAAGTCGTTGGTACAAAAAAACCTAGCAATCACCGAAAATGGCAACAAATGATCACAAAAGACAGCTTATGATTCCTCGTAGTTATCATTTTTATAACAGCATGTTTGGTAGAATAAAGTAATGCGTTTCAAGAATCACGCACTATTTGATGAGCCACTGCCCCTGTACTCGCTCTGATCACGGCATCATCTGAACACGCCGACGAAGCGCTATTCGAAACTTATTGTTAGCAAGAAATAAAATCGCCGGTTCCACCTCGCTGCCACAGACCTTCCTCTTCACGCTTTGCCTTCCATTATCCTCATTTACTCGCCCCTTCCCTTAAACTCTCAAACTGATGCCATACTTTACAGAAAGCGCTTCTAACCCAGTGGAGATTTCCCATTAAGATGGACGATACAGTACCTTTGAGTCCCCGTATCGTCCTCATCGCAAAGGAAAACGAGCTCTACCCTTATTGCTTACGAAATTGTGCAAGTGGTTTGTTAGCAGTTGAAAGAATGCATTCTCATTGGATAGTGTCAAAGATCAGTAAGTCAATAATAGGACCTAATATGGCGGCAAAAAGTGGCCTATATTCTCCATGGAGTCGAGAAGTCAAAGTTTTAGCTGGATTGATCAACGTAGAATGGAGTCTATAAAAAACTTAGGTGTTATCAGGCGTACTCAAAGTTTGATCTCCATATACTAAAGGTCGTTCCGGAAGTTCTTTCAGTTTCGACCTGTAATTAATACACGTGGAATAAAATAAAGATTTCAAAATCTAGAAGATGCAACATTCCAACTCTTTCCAATAGTAATGTTTCTGTGCTATCTTCTTTGGTGACAATCAAGGTAATCGCCGAAATTTCAAACCCATGGTTTTTACTATGCCAAAGTTTGGCAATTTTTCAAAATTTTCATTTTGAACTTCTAAAAGAGCTTTCGTGACATTTGTATAGAGTAAACAAAGTGTACAATCAATTACTTTGGCATTTCTAGCTGGCTTTCCAAGATTTGTCAGTTTCATTTTCTGATATCAACAAATTCCATATTTGGCTAGGCCAAACCACTCAGAACATCAAGCGACGTGCAACTTAGTGATTAGAATGCAGGGTACCAATAAGTCACCCGCTTCTTGATTCTGTTTAGAATGCAGGGTACCGTTCCATAGAGCAAGTAATCATAATAGTAAATTTCTGAAGTGACAATAGCTGTGCCCAAAATTTTGAAAATCGTTATTTCGCCTTGTACAGGGTTCGCCAAAATTATTTGCGCCAAATTTGCAGGAATGCCACAAAAGAATACTGATAGTTTTAATCTCAAAATTTATGCGATAGAATGCTGCAATCATCCTCTACAAAATATAGTGTTATGAGCCCAAGATGATTACCATACGTTTTGCGAATAATGAAATTGTCGAACTAGTACTTTTGAGCGCAGAAACCCAATTTTTGGCGTTTGTATTTCATTCCGTAGCAGGAAGTCGTTGAGACATATTAGCCTTTACTTACACAGTGTAGAGGAGGCTTGGCGCTATCAAGTCGTATTTCTTGCGTTCGCCAACAATAATCTCTCCAAAAATGGTAGCAAAAAGTTTGCGAAAGCCACCCCCCTGTCAGTGGTTCATTTGTAAGCTAAGAAGCAGTTGTCACCAAATTTAGGGGTATAATGTTTCCACGAAGCTTCCAGATACTAAGTACTCATTGTCAGTTCTTTTCCATCGATGAAGTTCTCAAACCTGATTTAAATAGCTTAATGTGCAGTATTCTACATAGGCAAACCCACGCTTTTTGGTTATTCGCTGATAATGTTCTTGTCTGACCATCCCAAATTTTGCGCTGATAGTAAGCATGTTGCGGCCAAAAGCTTGCTCTATCATGTGGCACTTTCCTTGCATTACAGGAACATTTATTGTAAACAGACAGAACGATTCTGTAAAAAAACACCTGCGTGTTGCGCGCAAATTAGTTAGCATATATTATATTGTAATTTTTCTGGAGCCACACTTGGAAATTTCCTATGGTTTCCGAATTATACGCTATGGTTTCCTAATTGTAAAACATTACCAACAAGTTAGCTCTCTACCTATCGCTGATCTCGTCTTGCACGAGTCTTACGTTGTAAAATAGACGCGCAATTAATTCTGGCGCAACCTGTACAATTACTGTTGAGCAATAATCTGGTTTTGAAACTCTCAATGTCCGAAGAATATCAGTGTTTGATGCTTTCGTGTACGTTACGACTTTGCAAAAGTGAGCTTTTGGAAAAATCTCTCGAAAATACTGCAAAGTGAGCTGGGAAAGCCAAAAAAATTGACTGTTTGCACTTTGTCTTCACTATCCACCTATCATCGAAGCTCCTCTAAAAGATCAAGATAGAGGGCTAAAAAAATCGTTAACTTTCTTTTGGTAAAAATCACTAGTTTGAATTTCGAACAGAAGAAACTAGTCCAGAAACATTACTGTTGGGAAGAGAAAGAAAAACCACATGGACTAGTTGTGAAATTTTTGTCATCTTCATTGTACGTGTCCTTATGGTAGGATGCAAAAACGGAAAGAACTTTTGGAACGAGCTAATTTATAGGAATTGAAAGTGGCAACTACAAAAAAAAGTCATAATTTTACAGCCTACGCATGAACCAGCCAGCAGCGGGGAAGTACATACAAGACGACCAGCAAACGCACATGTCGACACATTAGAATTGGGATAAATAAAATAACGTGACAAGTAGACCTTTTGAGCTTGTCCATTTTGCATTCCTACACTTGTAAAAAAGTGCCGAAAAATTAATCCGGCAATCGACTTTAAGGGCGAAGTGCGCCAATAATTCAACGAGACACTGATAGGTGTGTCTGCAAATTCCATTCCGCTTCACACGTTCAGACTGGGGAACTACTCCAAATTTATTTCAAGCTTTGAACGCAGACGTCATAAAGCGAATTCGAACAAAGACTTGGATCTGTGAGTCAAGCAAACTGTACATTTCATTCATTGTTTAGAATGGGAGCTCTCTCTGCGCATACTTTTTAGAAAGTGTAAGTGGATGCATGGTTAGTTGCGAATGCGCGAACAGAGCACCTGCCGTTCTCTACCCTCCCCCCCCCCCCCTCCCCAAATGGTAAAACAAATTTCTATAAGGCCAATCTGCTGGCTTGATATTGACTTTACATATTCTTCATGTCTCTCACACGTGGTTGAGGAATTGCTCAAATGTCTAAACAGTGACAATGAATCTCCACAAGCTGCTACATATAAAGAAGTGGTGTGCTGACGGTCTCATATTAACAGTCACAGGCACATTTCTCACACGAATAAGGGACAAGCAAAAGGTGTGGCCCTCCAAAAACCCAAAACCAAACATCCTCAGTCCTTTTCCTATGCAACCCATTTCTGAAGGAGAATAAAGAAAGTGCTGAAAGCGCATCCCTTGAATCTATCCCATCATAATCATACTCCATGTTGGTGAAGTCTCAATAGAAAGGAGTTTGAAATTCGAGAATAGGCAATACGAGCGAACGCAGAAAAGCTTGAGCGTCGTTCTGTTTCTAGGAATGCGCTAAAGCATTGCCAATCGGGACGACATACATATATAAGCTGTTCCCAAAAAAGGTGCCTACTTTTGATCGTTTATAACTCTCCTGTCATAATGCCTTTTGACAAGCTTTAGATAACTTTTTGTACAGCTAGCTTCAACTTAGATTCTGAGTGTGGAGCGAATAGTCGTTCTCTTTTCAGTACTGTATGGTTACAGTAGGAACTTTGAGGAAGCTTTTAGGTTATTGCGGGTCATATTTTACCTCTGAAAAGAGCTAAAGAAGTTGGAATAACATACACTAGATCGATCTAAGTTACAGCCAGCCGCTGATTCCAAATATGAGGGCCTTTACCGTAATTCTTTTCTCATAAGTCAGGCCAGATATACCGTAACAACCACTCCTTGATATTCGTATCAAGCGAGCAGAAAGCAGAACGTTATCTAGTGAAATCAGCATGCATGGAAATCTTGTTACACAATTTTCTATATTTTCTGAATTTTTTTTTGAACGGCCTATCTCACAGTGACAGCCAAATGCTGCGAGTTGCTACCGTAGTCCTACAGTAACGAAAAAAGATAGTTATTTCGTTTCATGCTGTAAATAAAAGTTGAAGCCAACTCTACAAAATGGTGCCTAAAGCTTTTCGAAAGATTTTATGACGGTTATTGAGAGCATTATCAACAATCAAACAGTAGGCGCATTTTTTGGGGCATCCTGAAATTCATCCTGTAGTCTTAGCTATTGGGAACGAATAAGATAGAAAATGGAAAAAGAGTCTAGGATTTCTAGTATAAATGTGATTTGCAGTGACTCATGAATTAGGTTTACGAAAAACACCATGGAATGTGTTGCATGTATCTAAAGCAATAACTTCTCAGGTTGTCAAAACCTTCGTGGCGAGAAGAAAGCTAAGCCTACGAGTTACGGGAAGAACGAAAATCCTTTAGGTTTGACAGGATCAATGGTGTGGTAGATACATCCTTTGATAAGATCTCGCAAGAACTTTCAAACTTTCATGGTTCAAATAGCTCAGTCATCGCAGCACTTAAATGAGTGCTTTGATTACTTTGATCTTTGACTTTGTAAGGGACTATGGAATAATTGTTTCTAGATGAAAAAGCTTTCTTCATACAAGATTCATTGACGCACTAGGCACTAGCTCATTGGAGGTGTGTATGGATGCCATACTTTTGTCACATTATGTGGAATGCTGAATCCATCGCAGCATCATCTCAGACATATACTGCACGATATTCTTGGTTGTGAAGAAAGTTTCCGAGCACTAAACTGTAACTTCAAACAATTTGTTCCTTTCTGCGAGATTCATTCGTAGCAGGGCAGTTATTACTGAGGTCTGTTGTGTGGGCTTTCCAGCAGTTCATCTCGGGCCAACAGCGCACAGAAAGAAAAGCTTTTCCTTTTCCATTTTCACTAGCAAGAT